TGTAGATGTCTGTTCTTACGCTGGACTCTCTTGAGATGTATTCATCATCTGTCGAAAGGACTTGCGATGCTGTGGACTCCAATATCAAGGTTAATTTATTTGGAATTTACATTTTCAACATTATGTATTTAGCCATAGAAACATTTATTGAAGATTAATATTACTATTATGCGTTGATGCGCACACATGCATGTCTGTATATTTGTGAAGAGCATTTGAAGAGAAAAAAAGAAGAGCCTCATTTGACAATTTTAAAATTAGGCTGTCTGTTGAGTCATGGAGAAGTTCATGATGATTTTCATTAAAATTAAGCATTATTACTAATTTAATTAGGCAATTTTTGGATGTATTATATGTTTTGCTATTCGATCCATTGTCTAATGATAATTAAACACGCCTTCATAATTATGTAAATAAACTTATTTACTGTATTCTATTGACCCTTCTTCACTAATGTCCGTGAACTCATGTTTTTAATTACTTTTCAGGAGTGATTTCGCAATTAAAATATATAGAGCCCCTCTTCATATCTTTGTCTCAGGCTTTAAAGTGAGAGCTGAGTCCAATGCGATCCTACTGAAATTCTTTATTGCGTCTTTATATAACAGGCCAAAGTTACTTCTTCAAACTCAGCAGATCTCTGGTTTTATCCCTTCGAACCCCCGGTTATTGCTGTTTTCTTCAAACTCTTTTTAATCCTAATTCATTGTTGTCTCTAAGCATAGATTAATTTGGCCATCTTGCAGATTTCGGCATACCAAGCTCAATCTTTAAACAATAGAGCATTTCTTCATCTTTTGAACTGACATTCGGCACTGAATTTATGATGACTACCTCATAAGTTTCTGTTAACTTTAAAGGTTTCTTAGATCACTCTATTTGCGCAATTATAAATATAGCATAGAAGGGCTTCAAAGCGCTATTATCAATTAACTCTTTAAGTGGTAATGCATGATATAGATTAGAACATATATGATACATATTAGCTTTTTGGGCGCCCGTATTGGTTTCATGATGTACTAATATATACGTGAAAATGTAGTCGA